GGGAGGGCAAAGACATGTGGTAGATGAGGTGATTTTTACCCAGAAATCAGCAGTCTGGCATTTTTAGGACTTTATTATTGGTCCTCGTAGTTTTCAAACTTCAGCCCTTTTCCGATTGCATGATGAGAAAGTATTTTTGTAATTATTGTCCTCCACTGTGTGTAGATTTCAGCCTAAATAATAGCTATCTTAGGGCGATGTTAGAAAGGTGATGAGGAATATGAGTCTTCGTATTTTTAGAGCTATCCACCTGCAGCTCCCAATAAACGCGGTCCTCCTTTCAATTCAGGGGATCATCGGATTGATCGCCTATGCTGTCTTTGTTGATTGCGATCCCTTGTTGAACGGGGAGATTAGTCAATACGACCAGCTCTTCCCACATCTCGTGATGCGTCTCTTTGGCGGTATTCCTGCTCTGAGGGGTCTCTTTCTCTCAACTGTCTTTGCTGCCGCTCTAAGGTAAGTTCTGAGTTTCTTTCCTTTAGTTTCGTGATCACTCTGCGACCTCTAGCCTCTCATTTCACCTACAAGACAAAACTATGCTTGTGTAGTGAGTAATTTGCTTCCAACTTTTTGTATTCACTAGCACTCTCTCATCGGGTGTCAACGGGATCGCTTGTGTTCTCATCGAAGATGTCTTCATGGATATCTACCTTACTTACCGCAAATCCTCTGTACTTCAGCCGAAGACACTCATTTTGATTGCTCGTTGTATTGGTGAGGTATCTTTTGACTTCAGTAATATTTGTGATGGGTGAACAGTAGTAAAAAGTAGGCACAAAAATTTAGGTAGACAAAATCTTGTTACCAAAACCACCACCTTATTTTTTTGGCCACTGGATGATATAAGGTTGTTAAAAACCACAAAATCCATGAGTATCGAGGGAAGGATTCAAAGCTGAAATGGTGTGGGAGTGGGGCACTCTTTTGGATCTTGCCTCTTTTCTCCCCTTACTAATACCCAACTATTGTAGCCGTCATCTTTGGTCTGCTCATAATCGGACTGGCTTTCCTCCTACAAGTTGTACCGGCTGGTGTGCTTCGCATTGCCTTTTCCATCTTCGGTGCCATCGGTGGCCCAATCCTCGCCGTATTCACACTTGGCATGATCTGTCCCTTTGTCAACAAATGGGTAAGCTTACGGCCTTTTCCCGAGCAAGTATTCTATTTTAAGGCTTATTTTCACCATCAGTTTGGCTAATCCTTATTGTGGAAGAGATTTTGAACGCTAAGGTTCGGTCTTCTAATATGGAATTCTGTAGGTGTTGGGCTTTGATTTCCCGTCATGGAAGTTGTCTACCGTAGGTGGCTAGATGCGAAGACGCACGATAAGAAAGCTATTTAGAGTACGTTGCCTGTCGGAAACTATCCTAACTAGGAATAAAGCGCATCGTTGTGGTACATTAATAACGCAGAGTAGATAGCGCAAAGACTACGGTGCGGTTGAAAATATGAGTGGCAACATGATGTAGCATCACTACCCCACATTATACTATGCGTTTCGCTTTTGGGTGGATATGACCAAGGAAGTAATTGGTACAAATAAGGTATGCCCTCTGAAACATGTTTCACTTTTAAATAGCACGCAGAAAGTAGGTCTGTACAGTTCAGCTTGCAATCAGTATGTAATGGATAAATCCATCGAAAAATGAGAGCTCTACACACAGTAGGGGACAAACTCATTTGCAAAAATACTTTCTTATCATGCAGTCAGAAAAGGGCTGAAGTTAGAAAACTAAGAGGACCAATAATAAAGTTCTAAAAATGTCCGACCACTGATTTCTGGGAAAAAATCACAATAATTTTAGGTACAATATCCTCATCTACCACATGTCTTTGCTCTCTC